GCACCCACCGACGGACTGCGAGGTGAAGGCGGCCACGATCTGGGGGCTGGCCAGCGCCTCCAGCCTGTTCTTGAGGGCCTCCAGGTGCACGCACTTCTCCGAGTAGTCGGGCGTGTCCACGAGCATCGCCAGGCTGTTCTGCATGGCCGTCAGCTTGGAGGAGATCACAGCCACGTCCTGGGGACAGACCGGCACAGGCACACGACTCTAACACAGCCCACTGATCCGGGGACTGAGGACAAAGTGCACGGAAAAGCACGAAGGACGAGAAGGGCCCATAAACACACTGTTCGCTATTATTAGGACTCAAATCAGTGCACATGAAGTGAGAGGGCTCCATTTTCCTCAGCAACAGGAAAAGCTTTTGGAGAATTATAGCAGCTCTTGTCAGTGAGGGTGCACAGGAAACAGCCTGTCTGGGACTGTAAATTCATGCTGTCTTTCTGGAAGGCGATTTGGCAACATGCGTCAAGAGCCTTCAAAATACTCCCATCCTTTGAGCTGGTGCTCCCTCTTCTAGAAATTTCTCTAAGGCAATCATCAGAGGGACCCAAAGATATCAATGTATTATAACTACTTAGGGTGATTTTAGTGTTTCAGTAACAAAAACCTGGAAACCTAAATCTCCCATAATAACAAACAAAATATAAATGATAGGTCACTCATCATGGCATGTGGAATATTGTGCAGCCACTAAAAATGTTTTTNCGCCGTGAGCGGCCGTCCAATGGCCGGCGAGCGACTGCCTCACCCGGGAAGAGCACAATGATAATACCAACATGGGCCAGTGAAGCGACATCCTCCACAACGAGACTGAAGAACAAAAGGACAGCAACTTGTCTGTTCCCCTCCCCCAATTCCCCAATAGAAAAGAAAAAAAAATAGTAGAGGACAGACATACAGACCAAAGGAATAGAACAGAAAGCCCACAGGTAAACCTTTTATACATGGTCAAATGACTTTCAACAAGGATGCCAAGACCATCCAAAGGAGAAAGGACAAGCTTATCAAAAATGGTGCTCAGAAAACTGGATATCCACATGCAAATGCGAGAAGCTGGACCTTTACTTTACACTATAAATTCACTCAAAATTAACCAGACATAAACATTAAGAGCTAAACTACAGAAGAAAACACAGGGGAAACTTCTCATGACTGTGGTTTCAGCAATAGTTTTAAGTATGACACCAAAAGCATAAACAAAAGGAAAAATGGATCAATGGGACAACATCAACATTTTTTAAATTTGTGCATCAAAAACACTAAGTGAGAACGGATGGACAGGGTCATTGAAAATTCAGGGTCCCATAAAAACGGTGAAACTTCTACAGAACACTGTTTTTCATTTTTCTTTTCCTTTGTTTTTAAAAGTCTGAATTAGGTTGGTTCAAGGAGAAAAAAAAAACGAGGGAAGGGAAAGAGTAATTTAACTACCTTGCATAACATGATTGTGTACAAAGGATTCTCTCCAACTAACAGTCAAGTTAATTCCGGCAAATGAATGACAAACATTTGAAGAATGATTCAAAACTAATTTTGAAAAAAATATAAGCCACACCATGAATAGGCCCAGTCAGCCATCACCTGGAAGGAAGGTAGCCTGCTCCCTCATGGAACGGCCCAGTGCACCTCCTGGCATGAAGATAAGGGGACAAGTCACACCCTTTCTGGCTGAAAATGCCCAGGAATTGGGGACAGTAAGGGATGCACTGACACTTCCCAATCTCACCTGCACTTTGAGTCCAAGGGGCCTTTAAAACTATGACACTTTTCTTCTAAGCCTTGAGGTACTGTGAGAACAACAGGAACTAACTACCGTCAGACCAGGTAAATTTTATCCCAAGTTAAGATAAAAACAATTTGTTCACTCGAACACCACCTGACCGAGGGCCTCCTGCTTTTCGATCAGAAGATAACGGCCTCCAGGAATTCCAAGGGCTCCTTGCTGAACAACAAGCAACTTGTCACATTAGATTCCATTTAAGATGCAGATAAGAATGATGATAAGAGTTGGGAGCTGAGACCTAAAACTTTACGGCCTTGGGTCTGGACACCGATCCTTTAACCCCTGTGGTGACGGCAGCAAACAGGGGGAGTCCTGAAGCCGTGCTCTGCCCTTGACAGACAGCCCCCAGGGCAGCCGCCCGTTCTTGCTCTCCCCAGAAGCCAGGTGAGCTCTTACCTGCGTAGCCCACTGGATCTGCGTATGCCACGCTCCCAGCAAGGCGTCGTACAGTCCGGCGAGCTGCCGGTCCAGGGGGAGGTCGTTCTCGCACAGCTCATGCCAGGCTGCCAAGAGCTGCACCTGCAAAGGCAGAACAAGGGGGCTGAAGCGGCGTGCCGAGCATGCTGCCCACTCACGCCGCCCTGCCCTGCTCTCCTACCACAGCAAGCCACGCACGCGGCCTATTCTCCTGCCCACTCACGGCCCCACTGATGACCATGCGCTTCAGAAAAAAGGCAGAAAATAAACAAAACCACTTACACTTACCTGTTCTGATCATCAATCAAAGCTTGACTGTCGCCCTCTAAGTGACCCTTTCTCTTTCTATCTTGCCCCACAAGAGGACAATGTGCTTCCACTCAGCAGGCTCCCCACCCCCGCCAAAAGACCTAGGGGTACATGTGGGCTTGCATCTTAGCTTCACGTGCTAACACCACTGCCTTCACCACACTGAGCAGTGGAATGGGAGGAAGCCATCACGTTTTTCAGGAACCTAACTTCACCAGCCCTAGAGGCTGTATTAAATTCCATAGCTTGACTGAGGGCTAATAAAGCTTAATATACAGATTTCCCTTAAAATACAACACTGGGAAGAAGCAGCACAATTTTTCAGTGTGTAAATGAAATCCAGCCACAAATAGTACAAGAGAGACCAAAACTGAGGATTCTTGTTCCAAGGGCAATTAAGTGAATCCACAGGCTAAAACGACAGCACCCCCTACTGGTGTTTGAGAGAAAAAGGTCAGCGCCAGGAGGCGGCCTTCCCCTGCACCTATAACACCAAGCCCAGCGTTCCAGGCACCTCCCAGAGGGACGCAGCCACAGCCTCTCACCTTGTGGCACTTGTAGTAGTATGCCAGGAGTTGGGGCATCCGGTCAATTTCCATGAAAACCTTCACAAACACTCTGGACTGATCTAAAGGAGAACATAAAACGTGCACGTGCTGTTACCAGGTTTCCTGTGGTGGCCGAGTGAGGCTCCACAGGAAACACGGGACACATGTAAGCTAGTCCCGGCCAGAAGTCCCTACCTCGACAGTGAATCAGTACATGCGTGGAGGTCCTACATGTGAAAAGTAAGTAAGGCTGGGGGCGGGATGCGTGTCTGCACACGATGGTGCAAGCCTTGGCTTGTTTACGACAGCACATCAGTGAGCATCGCCCACACGGCCAGGGTGCTACATCAGCAAGGGGGTGGTTACACGGGGATAGGAACACGAGTTAGACTGGGTCATCTTCCCTGGAGAAAGAGCGTCCGTGGGGTGTGAGCTGGTGGAAATGGAGGCGCCGGTTCGATCCAAGGCCTTCGAAATGCAGAGTCGATAAGAAGAAAGTCGCTGTGGGTGAGCCAGCTGCCCACGTCTACACTCAGGACTCCTTCCAAAGCTTCTCCATATTATAACCTCACTTTAACCTTGGGGCCATCCTGTGAGTTAAGGAAATGGAGAAACTGCCAGCAGAGTAAAGAAGCTAGTCCAGGCCACACGGCTACAAGGGCCAAGGCCATCTCTTGGTCAGGTTCCTGACATCTTCTAACTCCTACGACTTGTCCAAAATGACAACTGACAGATGCAAGATTTTAAATCTCAGGTCTAGCAAAGAATTCCAGGAGCTGGGCTGGTCCAGACCAGAGAAGAGAGAGCTCCAGAAGGAAAGATTCAGGGGAAAGGGGGGAACACAGAAGAATATCTTAGTCCCAGAGCACGGCGTCTGGAAAACACTAAGAGCTGTGGACGGTAAGAAGAATGGGCGGGGATAAACAGACAACCGGACGCTTGAGGGTGAACACGAAGCTGAGCGGGAAAGAAATGAAAATCATGACGCCTGACCTGACTCTGTAAAAATGAGCTGTTTATAAAGCTGCCATACTATAAATGCCATTTGTTAGCTCGATTTAAAAGACTGGTATAAAAGGAGCATGGGAGAAGGAGAGGGGAGGTATGAAAGTTAAATCCTTGGCGATAACAATAGTAAGTCAACAGACAACGCTGAAGACTGATAGAGACATACAGTAATAAATTAGTTACGCAGAAACGCGCAGTGACATCTCAGAGGAAAGAGCTCTGAGAAGTAAAAGCGGCGGCCGGTCTCCGGGGGCCGGAGTGGGGGGTGGGGGGAAGAACACGCTGTCTTTCCCTAGAAGACCTTAGCGCTATTCAACTTTTCCAATAGTGTAGCTGATGGGGAAAAGACGGAACGGGATTCAAGAGAAAAAAAAACGAAACCAACCAACTCATTTGTGGGTGTGGACCTCCAGTTTGCGGCGGAGCTCAACGTGCCAATGCAACCCTCGTCCCAGCAGAGGCTTGGGAGCTGTCGTCCCCTTTGGGTCCTGAACAGGACACAGGGCGCCCCCTCTGGGCCAGGAGCGGGGCACCTGCTGTCCTGTTTAATCCTCCCAAGGACCAAATGGTCACATTCCATACTCACTTTACTAAGGGGAAACTGAGGTCTCATCACTCATAGCAGCAGCCCAAAGGCTTAAAGCGAGGTCCATCCATGTCCAAAGTCAACATGGCTTCTGCCTGGCCACACGCCTTGGGAGACACCCATACACTGCTAACAGCGAGGAGATCACTCCCTGATCGTTCCCGTTCAGGCAAGCAATGGGGTCCCCAACCGTCCCTTCCAGCCGCATCACTGACCACTTCCCCACATTCGCTCCACTAAAATCGGCTTAATTATTATTCTCCCACCTCTGAACCATTCAGACACGTTGTTCCCTCTGCCCCAATGCTTTCCTCACCCATTAAAATCCTACACCAGGGAAAACGCTCACGCTGTAACCGGGGGCAAAACAAATCCAAAATCGTACATACTTAGTGATATGCTTTCCTTCAAAGAGATACGTACGCAAAGGGAAAGAAAACACGAAGTCATCTCTGGGTGGCGAGTTCACTGCTAAGTCATTGTCCTTTTTACAGTTTTCAAATTTCCAATAACCTGTGTTTGTATTACTTTTATAATCAGAAACAATTTTTAAACGTTTTGAAAGTCATCTCCCCCTCAAGGTCCTGCAAACACCAGATCTTTCCTAAGAGCATCCCCGCTTTTCCTCCAGCCAGGGCAGCGTGGCTCCCCTCACGCTCCTCACGCTCCCCACACCCTGCCGCAGGAATGGCTCCTGCGCCCTCTGCCCGCCTCACCCTCCGCTGAGGGCAGCAACCTTATCTTACTCATCTTTATACTCCCCTCTGTCCTCACAGCATTAATATTTTGAAATAATATTTACCAGTTAGCTATGCCTTTGAAAATCCCTACTCGATCATACCAGATGGGAACTATAAAAAACGCAAACAAACTCAACTTTCATAAGCTCACAAATCTGGTGGCTCGAGGAGCAAGTAAATAACCTGGTAAATCTCAGCATTCCACACATAGCAATGGGCTCTAAGAGCCAAGTTACGGGTCTGATATCAAGTAATTTCTGACATGCTTCTCTAAGGTAGAGGAAACGAGTAAACAAAGAACCTGCTGCCAGGATGAATGCAAAAATAATGGGCAGGAATCCATGAGTTAAAAAACGACTATTTGCCTTTAAAATGCTTATTATTTTCACAAGAGCACTTAAATATGTGCATCTTCCTGCCACCTGTAAAATTATGCCACAAAAAGTCGCTTCAACTTATCAATGGAGCTCACTGGTTTTATAAAATGAAGCTGGCATGTGTGCTTGGGGACTGTCACTCAGAGAGAGAGAAAGAGAGAAGGGTGACATGCTGGGGATGTGCTAACTCATCAGAGTTTCCCCTTTAAAAACTGTTCGGTAAAGAAACACCTTGTGGAGCGGCAGGGGCGATGTAAGCTGCTGGGAAGGTAAGAAAACATTTTTACTGCTGCTTCCTCCGGGCTAACCAATCATCTGGGGAAGAAAGGGCGAGGGAGAGGTCGATAAATGTGTTTGTGGAAACTGCACTGGAAAATAACATATCACCATGTTCCCAATAAGGGGTCGCGACGCCTCAAATGGTACACTTAAGCTGTGTACATTTCTCCACATGTCAATGTTACCCCCAAAAGAGAATCATAAACCAATACTGAACTGTAGGTATTGATCTGAATGCTGAAGTGTGTAGGAGTGAAGCATACTGATGTCTGCAATTTACT